TTCATCAAATGGATGTTAAAACGACCTTCTTAAATTGATAGTTGGAGGAAAAAATTTACATGAAACAACCTGAAGGGTTTGTGGTTCCAGGTAAAGAAAATAAGGTATGTAGACTTGTTAAGTCTCTTTACGGACTAAAACAAGCACCCAAACAATGGCATGCGAAATTTGACCAAACAATGTTGTCAAATGGTTTTAAGATAAATGAATGTGATAAATGCGTGTACATTAAAAATGTTCCAAATCACATAGTCATTGTTTGCCTATATGTGGATGATATGCTGATAATGAGTAATGACATTGCCAACATAAATGCTACTAAGCGTATGCTCAATAGCAAGTTTGATATGAAAGACTTGGGAGTTGCTGATTTAATTCTGGGAATTAAGATCCATAAGACTCCTCAAGGTCTGGCATTGTCACAATCTCATTATATTAAGACAGTACTTGAAAAATTCAAGCACTTGGGCTTTAAAGTTGCAAAGACTCCAATTGACGTGAATCTTGCATTAGCAAAGAATAAAGGCCAAAGCATATCACAATTGGATTATGCTCGTGTGTTGGGATGCTTAATGTACATCATGAATTGTACACGACCAGATATAGCTTGTTCTATAAGTAAACTAAGTCGATACACGAGCAATCCAGGTCAATCTCATTGGATGGCAATAAAACGAGTTTTGGGATACTTAGAACATACCCCAAAACTTTGATTTGCACTACAGTAAATATCCTGCGGTGATTGAAAGATATTGTGATGCAAATTGGATCACCGGTTCAACTTATTTGAAGTCCACAAGTGGATATGCATTCAATATTGGTGGAGGAGCGGTATCTTGGAAGTCGTCCAAACAAACATGTATTGCCCGCTCTACAATGGAGCTGAGTTCATTGCCTTAGATAAAGCCGGTAAAGAAGCTGAATGGCTCCAGAATTTCTTGGAAGACATTCCATTTTGGCCCAAATTGTTGGCACCAATATGCATACACTGTGATAGCCAAGCGGCAATTGGAAGGGCTGGGAGCGTTATGTATAACGTTAAATCTCGTCATATATGACGAAGACATAAAACCGTTAGGCAACTTCTCTCTAGAGGAATTATCACGATTGACTATGTAAAGTCAAGTGATAATGTGTCGGATCCACTTACAAAAGGCCTAACTAGAGAGGTAGTTGAGAAATCATCGAGGGGAATGGGACTATGGCCGAGAACAAGTCATTGTGGCGGTAACTCTACCTAGAAGACTGGAGATCCCAAGATCTAGGTTCAAGGAGATCAAACAAAGTCATTAATGACGGTTCAACATTGTCAAATAAAATTTTAGTCCATTCTCGTGATGAGACAATGTTCAGTACCAAGGATAAAGCATTAAGGCTTTTTAATGATTTCTAAATTTGATACGGGGTATATCAAATAGTGTATCTACAGGATGACACGTTTAGGAATCACCTATTTAAGTGTGAAGTGTGAGCCGCTTCAAGGAGAACTTTGTAAGGCCAGTTCTCTACGCACTTATGAAACCAGGCGGTGTTCATGGCTGAAACGAACACAACAATGAGAACCAAAGACGGTTAAAGGATTGATTGTATGACTTATGGTTGTCTAGGTATACACTAAAGTTCGACGGTTCAAAGATATCAAACTACCGATTGACCGAGTATATCCGACATAAGTTTACTACGGAAAGTTCAAAGGGAAACCTACTTATCCAGATGCAATTAATTCTTGCTTGCAAATCACACAAGTTTTTCATGCATACTTCCGTGATATAGCCATTCCCCATTCATGTGGGGGATTGTTGAGTTTTGGATTGTTGAGTTTTTGTTTAAGATGAAATAGTCTTAAAATGAGAGTGAATGGGAAATGGGATTTGGATTTGGATTTGGATTTGGATTTGATCAAATGATCGATCGATTGATTAATTATTTGGACCAAATTTATTTGTTAATAGTGAATATTAACGTGATATAATCCGTGTTTGTAATGGATGTTTTCCAATCCGTGTATTGTGTTGCACCAAGAAAGCAACAAGATGCCTAGTGCACCTCCCACCATGGCCAAGTGCTCCTCCCACCAAGCAAGTGTTCATTCCACCATGTAAGTGCTTCCTCCATGATATCCTAATGCTTGTTCCACCATGGAGGGGGCGGATTTCTCTCACATAACTGCTATAAATAGAGCAAAAGTTGTAGAGAATAAAGAACACATCGGAAAAAAAACTTGAAACACTCAGTATACAATTGATATACTATCTGTATATAATTGATATACACTCTGTATACACTGTGTATACACTGGAAAAACGAATTGCAATCTGATATCCTCTTCAGTAAGAATTCAACATCGGCTATACATTGCATTCCTTCCTCTTATAGTTTCCATTCGACTTCTGAGTTCTCCTCCATTATTCTGCATTGTTTTAAAACTACAAACAAAGCAACTGTAAGTGTGATTTGCTGCCGAACTTTGCGTTCGCTGAAATACTGGGGTTTGAAGTACCGCTACACAAGTGTGTAATTCGTTCTATCCTGGAAGGAAATAATCCATAACCTTGGGTACTAGGATTGGATTAAATTCCTTAAGGAAACACTGTGAATTCAGTGGGCTCGAATTAATTTTTGTTTCAGTTATATCATTTACATTTACGTATGTTACTGTTGTAGATAGCTGATAAAGAGGATAATATATATCTAAGAGTGAAAAAGTTAAAACTTGATCTTCCATCATTCCATATTTATACCAGATAAGAAGTACTATACAGAAAACAACAACAACAGCATGAAGGCAAGAGAAACGTGTGCTTGAAGCTGAGTACCAAAAGTACTCATTTTCGTAATATTAACACTTACTAATATTTATTGTCATTTTTTTATTAAGGAGAATTCCTAATATTTCTCTGGATGGGTTAAGAGGCAAGCAAATATAATCGTTTATTGCTTGACAGGAGAGTCTAAAAATTATGCTAGTCCTTTATATTTGAGTAGCAACAGTACTTTTTTCCACTGTTAGAAAAAAAAAATCTATGAAAATTCTAGGCTAATTCAATCTAAACATAATCTCCAGTTAATCCTGAGCTATAAATATCCTTGTTACAAATCACAAAATAAACTGAACACAAGATATCTTCACTAAGATCTTCCCACAAGGTGTTCAAACTTCATACATAATAGCAGCAGCTCCAAAGACCAAAGAATTTAGTCTTTGGTTCTTGAAACTTTATGGATCTCACCAAATTTTCAAAATCCAGCCTTAAATCTTCTGAAAAATAAATTAAAGTTCTATAAAAGACTAACAAATGTGAATATTGACAAGATATACATAAATACTGCGGAATACTGCATAAAATACCCACTCAAGCTACTGAGGAAGAATGCTATGAGAGATCATATATTATGAAACTTTGATTGACATTTTAAGACGGTTATGGAATTCTAACTCAAGCTATGAATTTCTCATACTCATTTTCAACTTAATAAATCACCTATGAATTTCACTTATTGGGATTATATTCAAGCATTTGATAGGGTGCTTNTAGGCGGACTACCGCCCGCCTACCTAGATCCTGGTGTAAAATGGTACTTTTAGTACTTGTTTCTCCCAGATCCATTCCAAAGCTTCATATCTATGTTGAATCTTTCATATCTATTACACATTTATGAATGGAATCTTGATGGTCTAACTGATAGACAATTAACCATTCTCGTACACAGAATGCTTATGTATTCGACTAGAACATAGATAACTTAAGTTTGATATCGATAAATTAAAATTGTATCAAGAATGATCAAATAAGTTCTCACACCAATTCTCACACAGATGGTGCATCAAGAATAGAGTCGACTAATCAATTCTCAAAGGCGAGTCTGAATATTCTGAAATAAATAAAATAATTCACATATTAGGGATTAAAAAATACAAAATATTAAAAGAATATTCATTAAGAATTGAATATATAAATTACCTTCTTAAACTTGTTCAATTTTCTGGATGTCTTCCAAACTGTCTTGAAACTTGTATTCTTTGGTAGGTCATCGTATCCATTGTTGAGTGCAAATAAGGGCTTCTACTGTTTTTGGCGATAAAAAAATCCGATATGAATCAAGAATTCGACCACTTGTACTAAAAGCCGACTCAGACGCAACAGTAGAAATATGAATAGAAAGAACATCCCTTGCAAATTTTGAAATAACTGGATATTTAATAGATGAAGCTTTCCACCAACTCAAGATATTAAAATCCTTTGTCTTCACCACATCATCCATCAAATACATCTCAAGATCAAACTTTTTTTTTCAATATTTCCCTCATCTGCCAAGTGTTTTTCCCACTTAGATAGCAGCAGATCACCATTTTCACTCATCATACTAGTATCGCCTCTAATATTATCATTAGAATCCTCAAAAAAAGAATTATTATAGTGATTATATAAGCAATTCAAAGAACCTGCCACATCTTCAACGATTCAAAGAACCTGCCACATCTTCAGACTTTAATCTTCCCAACAAGGAAACATATGCATCACTAAGAATGAAATTCACATACGTCATCTTGTATCTGTCTTTGCTATTCCTACAAGATCATGTGTCGAGTTTTTAAATTTTTCCACAACAAGTAAATTCTTGGCCTAAAAATGTATTCTCTCAATTTGTGGTATCTAGAATAACCTCAAAGTCATCCCTACTTTTATAGTAAACTTTTTTCTTTTTTAGCAAATACAATTTTATTGCTCGAAGTAGTAAAGTATTAATTAAGATACTTAGTATAAGACATAATGATATGAAGTTCTTAATTAAAGAAGACAGAGAAAATAATTAAGAGTAATTTTCAATTTATGTGATTTTTTTTAATTATTCTAAAAAGAGTGACATATTTTTATATTTAAAAAAATTTAATTTTATACTTTTTATTTTTCTCTTAATAAGAAACTTTTATAACTACATTAAATACATGTTTAGGTCAAAAGTATTATTCTCTTATCATTCAACCTTTTGAAGAAACAGAAGAAAAAAAATTCTAACTTTCTGATCTATTTTTTCATTCCCTTCCCATCCAAACAAACTTAAATCAGTGTATTTTTGTTTTCTTTTTTTCCTTTTTCCTTATCTATTACTACTCACTGTCTCTCGCAGTTGGCGGATCTCCAATTCTCAGTTGTACTTGTACCCCATTTCCTTGATTCACTCTTCATCTGTCCCATTCAACCAATAGTCTTTCCCCTTTGCCTTCTCATATTACACATGGGCACAATAATGATTCCTCAAAATTTCTGCTTCTCATTTCTTGGTGATCCTGTGGGATGGCATCAATCATTCAATTTTTTTGGCAGTTTTCTCAATTGGGTATATCACAAAATGTAATCTTTTTAAGCATTACAATCTGAAAATTTCTTTAGATCTTGGGTTGGTCTTGTTTTCTGTTACAAATTGCATTTTTTTCAGAAATTGTGAGTTCCTTGTGCTCTAGACGTCCCCATTTTTTGCATTGTTGCTTGGCTATGTCTGTATATTTAGTGAATGTATGTCATTTACTTTATTTAGTGATGGTTAAATTTTTAATTTCATGCAATTATTGGGGGAAAAATCAAATCTTTGAATAATGTGCTAATGCCCCATTGTGGGGTTACTAGGTTAATCGTAATGGCTCGAGAGACTTGGCCTTTTATTTGGTTTGATTTTAAGAGCCCGTTTGGACTAAAAAAAATCAGTTTTTTAAGATGTTTTTCAAAATGTTATCATTCACAAAACTTAAAAAACAATCCAAAATTATATTCATGTCCAAACACAACTCTAATTTTCAAATACCATTTTCACTTGAAATTTTTTTTCACTTTTTTTTGGAATTTGACAATTCTTATGTCCAAACGCCCACTAAGTTTCTTGATTTTAAGTTTCTTGCAATAAAATCCATTTTGGGGTTTAAATTCTGATATTTATTTACTTGTTTTTAGTGATATGGATTACCTTCCTGTTGAGGTCATTGGGAATATCCTCTCCCAACTAGGGGCAGCGAGGGATGTGATTGTAGCGTCTGCAACATGTAGAAAGTGGCGGGAAGCTTGTCGTAAACACCTCCATACTCTTTCGTTCAATTCTCATGATTGGCCACTCTATCGAGACCTAAGTACTAGTAGGCTAGAGATACTGATTACTCAGACTTTGTTTCAAACAACAGGCTTACAATGTTTATCGATATTGATGGATGATGTGGACGAGTTCTCAGCTTCCATTGTGGTTGCTTGGCTCATGTACACAAGAGAATCATTGCAATGGTTGTTTTACAACGTTCGTACTAATCCAAAGATCAATATTCTTGATATATGCGGGCGACAGAAGCTGGAAATGTTGGTGCTTGCTCATAATTCTGTATCAGGGGTTGAACCGAATTATCAGAGGTTCCTTTGCCTAAAATCCCTTTCATTAAGTTATGTCAGTATTTCGGCATTGGATCTGAATTTGTTACTGACAGCTTGTCCGAAAATTGAAACTTTAGCACTTGTGAATCCAGAGATTGCAATGTCAGATGCGCAGGTAACTGTTGAGCTGAACAGCAGTACACTAAAAAGTATCTACGTTGAAGCAGTAAGTTTGGACAAGTTTATATTGGAAACTGATAGCCTTGAGAATCTGCACTTAAAAGACTGTGCGCTTGAGCTTTTTGAGCTCATTGGAAAAGGAACTTTGACGTATTTCAAGATTGATGATGTTAGTATTATACATCTCGATGTTGGTGATGCTGTTGATAATCTTGAAACTGTAGATGTTAGTAATTTCACGATAAATTGGTCCAAGTTCTATCAGATGATTTCGAAATCATCCACATTGAGAAGTCTCCGGTTATGGGATGTTGTATTTGATGAAGAGGACGAGATTGTGGATGTGGAAACAATTGCACTTTGCTTCCCACAATTAAATCATCTTGCACTTAGTTATGATTTAAGAGATGACTTAAGGGAGGGAATTCTCCACTATGGTTTACAAGGGTTATCTCTATTAGAGAATGTCAATGTGTTGGAGCTGGGATCGACGGTAATTAATGACGTCTTTACTCATTGGGTTGCTGGTCTACTGCAAAGATGCCCTAATCTCAGTAAATTAGTTATTCATGGAGTGATTTCAGAGACTAAAACACATGAAGAGTGCCAAATGTTGGCCGGCTTTACCTCATCTATTGTTCAGCTGATGAGGAGATATATTCATGTAGATGTGCAGTTTGAATTTGAGTAGATGAGAAACATTTGTTAATTTGGAATAATGGGCTCAATCAACAATAGCAGAGGCAAGGTAGAAAAGGTATTCAATTGAACTTGAAGACTTTGCTTCTCTTTATTTATATCGATTCTTCTTAATGAACTGGTTCAGATTGTTTCCTGGTAAAATTTCTTTATGATTCTGCGACTCCACTTCAATTGATTCTAAAAAGAAGAAGGAAAAATTAGTAGATAGCCTAGCATCCGTCATGATCATCCTTTTCACTGGATTAACCTTTTGAAATTTGCTCAGCTTACTAGCTATTGCTATGATACTGACGATTCAAATTTAACAATTGACATGAGATGCATCCTCTAGGAATTCATTTCATTTTCCACTCAAAGTGAAGTGTCAAATTTTCTTGATTACTATCCGCTAGTATGTGACAAATCCTATTAATGAAACTGTTACAATTCGGTGAAATGCATTGTCTAGGTTATTAGATTTCATTATTCACTCAATATGAAATATCATTTCTCTTGAGCCTTGATTACTATCAGATACGGCATGACAAATCGATGCCTGAAAAGTGAAACCCTTAACTTGTTGAATAAGTAAGAAATTGAAGTGGAGAATAGAAATTAGATGGACAATAGCTAATGATCATATTGTATAAAAATAAAATAGTACATAGTGTTATAGAGTCATGGCCAAGCTCCTCTCAGCAACTCCCCCCATCCAAAAAGAAAAAAAGGAAAAGGAAAAGGAAAAAGAAACAACAACAGTTACTACTACATCATTTTCGGCTATATGAATCTTCATTATCAGTGACGTCTATATGAACCTTCACAATCAGTGTCAGTTATATAAATCTTCAGAATCAGTGTCGTTCTTTTTAGACCCGTCTCAACCGATATTCAATTTTTCAGGTTCTCTAACGCTAGAAATTCTCTACATCTTCTATTGGCATACAAATCTCTTACAAGATTTAAGGACTCCTAACAAAGATTGGACCTAAAGTAAGCTTACCAACATGGCTAAGCAAACAGTCACAAGACCTGGATGATGGTTGTCTTTGGTTATTGGTGGATGTTATTTTGTTTAGATGTGTTTACGTAATTTGACTATTTTATCTATTTTCTTCAACCGTGTGGATATGGATATGCCTTAAAAAAATGGTTCTGTTTGGTAATTTCTCTTCTCAGTTTGTGGAGTTTGAATTCGCAATATACATACACATTTTACATCCTTGAGCAAATGCATGCAGATATATATTTACTGCAATTCTTTTCTTGAGCGAGCGATCTGGATCTCAAATTGAATCTCTTCTCTTTCACAGGAGACCTATAACCCACCGTCAACAGAGGAGATGGGGCTAGTGTGCTATAATGTGTCAAAATTCCAAATGTTGTTTCCTTAAGTTGGACATTTTCACGTTCCAACAGGTCATGTCTAAAGACGGAAAAGTAGGAAGTCTACCACACCGCTTATTCTTTTCATATAACTATGATGAAAGTTAATCACCCAATCAATTGACAACTTAGATTCTTTTTCCTTCTTTTCTTCTAGAAGGCTGGAGTGGCAGCAATCAGAGGCCAGATCGTAGTTCACCTTTTTCTTAAACTTATGTATGAGAAGATATCAACTACTAAAATGCATTGAAAGAAATGAGAATTTTAACTAAGATTAAGCTCATTTGTTTTTTCTACAAACGGATTTAAGCTTCGTTGATAGGACTTGTATCTCTTGTATGTTAGTCCACTGGCTGTGGTGGTGGAATGAAATGTCATAGTAATAATCTGCAACAAGCGGTTTTGATCAATATTGTCTTGGATAGATTTCACTATTTTTATTATTGAAAATTGGAATTTTGTTTCTTTTCTATGTTTTCATTCATCTGGAATGAATTTCCTTCGTATGCTTGTTTGCTGTTTATTGTTGTGATGATTTGTTAATTGAATGTGTGTGAACAGTTTGGCATCTTTGGTTTACTCTCTATCTAGGCGACTGTATCTTTGACTGCATCATTTTAGCTACCCCTTTTCGGATGATTCCAGTTTTCTTGCACTTTAGTATCAGATGTGCTGATTATTTTGGATTTTCTTCTAGTATTTTATTCAAATTGCAGTTATGCTTCCTCAGAATATTGCTCAATGCAAATCTGTCTGATCTTTTAGCCGTTCAGCCTTGGAATTTCGATTGATGATTTGTTATGATTATTATACTTTAGAATATATGCTGTGTAGTTGACCTTTCATATTGAGTCGTTCTATTAAGAATCCATTTTTATCACCATTTCTACTCAACATTGCTAGGTGATTGAGTGCCTTCTACTTGATCTGCAATGGTAAATGGCTAAAGGCTGAAGAGTATCTCCTAGTCCTTTGGTCAGAATGAGATCTAGCCATTTTCCTTACTCTCTAGATCTTGCTCTTCCTCTCTCTCACATACACACACGGAGAAACAGTGTCTTTTTTGTCTGTCTGAGAAACGAGACGTAAGCCCTTTGTGAAGTAGCTTGGCTATGTCAAATGTGCACTTGTTAAGCAATTGTTCTGGAGTATATTGACGCGTAGAAGCGCCGAGTCTTTTGTCTCAGAACTCAGAATATATGCTGGGACTCATCAAACCTAATTAATGAATGAACTGTTTTATGGTTCTGTTGAATAGCATGGTCATTCAGCAAACTTGGTTTTTGAGCATCATAGCTTTCTCTTAATAAGTTCAAGGGCTTAAATAGGACTGTTTGGTACTTTACAAAACATTGAACAATTGACTTTCTTTAATCTGTGCAGATAAGACCATCTGGTCTGTCCGCATATTCAAGACATTATTCAAGACATCTGGTTTGACTTTATTTATTATGATGGTGGCGGTTAGACCAGCTTGGGTGCACCTTGAGTTCCGTCGGGTACCAGCTTGCTATCTCCTACGAGCATTGGTATTGGGTAACTCTACCCATTAAGGCTTAGGCAAGTGAAGAGAGATTGTCTAGCGTTATTTTCCTCTCTGTTATGTATTTGAACCCTGGTCTCCCATGATTTTGACCCACTTTATTAACCGCTAGGCCCCCCTTTTGTAACCTTTCTCTCTGTTGTGCTCAGAATGGTGACCTATGGTAAGATTTTGCATTAACTAGAAAAAGCAAGATTTGGATTTTATCATCTATACTTTTGACTAGTGGTGGCAAAATGGATTAAAAAAAATAGTTACATTCATATTATTCACTAAAAAATGTGCTGGATAGTGATTTTTTTAAAAATAGGTCAAATATGGATAGGATATATATAATCCACTTAACCAATAGATAATCAATGTGTTTAATTTTTATATTTGCGAAAACTCAAATTGGGGGGTTCCTCAAATTTGCGGGACTAGGAATTTTGCCAAAAGTGATCATGTTCAAGAAGCCATGAATAATATGGACATCCATATTATCGGCCGGTTAATCAACTTATTATCCTTATTAAATGTGGATCAGGTCGGATAATTTATCCGTTTTTTTACATTATCCGTTTTCAACCCGCCCATATCCGATCCGACCTGCCTGCCTTCTACCCGTATTTTTTACCATTAAACCGACCCCTAAGGATAATTAATCCAACTTCCATACGAGACATACTCCCTCATTTCCAGTTTATGTGAATCTATTTTCTTTTTGGTCTGTTCCAAAAAGAATAACCCATTTCTAAATTTAGTAACAATTAAGCTTAAACTTCCAATCCTACCTTTAATGAGAAGCTTTTATAACCATACAAATACTCTGGACCCCTTTTTGACTTGTTTAAGACCACAAATTTCAAAAGTCTTCGTTTTTTTAAACTTCGTGCTCAATCAAATAGGTTCACGTAAATGTAATGGAGGAAGTAGTATATATAGAGATCTATAATGTTGGTTTTGGATCGATAGAAATATAATAGCTGCCAAATTAATTAAGTATTTCTCTTTTGTAGTCTGTATGAAAGTGATTAGCTTATCCATTTTTTCCTGGTTTATTAATTTTTATCACTTGAACCTGGATAATGTATCGAAAGTTGTGGAAGGGGGTTCTGAAAATACTTTAAATGGCTTGATTATTTTAATACCATTTTAGGTATTTGTTTTCCTTATCTAATATGGCGTTAGACTTTATTTCTCTAATTTTCCTTTTGGATGCCTCTTTCTTGATTTTTTTTTTTTCAAAGTTGTTTAACCATTTTTATATGTTAATGTAGTTGTGGCTGGTATGCTCAAGAATAGTAGTTAGCTTTTATGTGATATTCATTATTTCCAAATTAAGTATATTCAATGACAAGTTGACGTTTCAAATACTTATAATCTGATAATATTATCTCTTGTAATTGGAAATAAAACAAAGCTCTTTTGTTTGTTTTGTTGTACTTAATAATTATTAAAAAAAGAAAATCAAAACAACTTTGTTTATGTATATATTGTATGAATAAGGCCTAGCCACTTATTCAAATAGGGAGACAAAAATTCAAAATTTTCTTTAGCAACTTAGTGTGCTCAAGAATAGTAGTTAGATTTTTTATGACACTCATTATTTCCAAATTAAGTATATTCAATGACAAGTTGAAGTTTCAAATAGTATAATCTGATAATATTATCTCTTGTAATTGGAAATAAAACTAAGTTCTTTGTTGTTTGTTTTGTTGCACTTAATAATTATAAATGTTTTTTTTTCAAAACAACTATATACATGGTATGAATAAGGCCTAGCCACTTATTCAAATAGGGTGACAAAAATTCAAAATTTTCTTTAGCAGCTTTCTGCTTCCTTCTCATTCTTATAATTATTATAATTATTAGAATAGTTCAAAATACTTATAATAAATCATTCAGTCTATTTATTAATTAGCGCATATTACTTTAATTATTAATTGCCGGCAAATTCTGATAATGACACAAATTAAGGCCACCTTAGGGGATACTTTGGTATAAAATCCTGCTACTTCAAACTCACAGATATGATCAAAATGTGTTGTAAATATTTTGCTTTCTTATTATTTACACACAGGGAAACATATCAATCGATGATGATTGAAGATTGAAATTTTCAACTCCAATATTATAGAGAAGTTTAATTTAATCCTCCTAATTTTCTTGATGAACGAATATACTCTAATTAATTTTTTTTTAAATAAAAACAATGCCAAAGTCATATTGAGAGGAATTTTTAACAGGGGTTGTCTCACAATTTTGATTAATTTATCAGATTAATTAGTTTCCTAGATAGTCAAACCCCATATGCATGAACCATGGCCTGCAAATCTTAAAATTCATAAATTAATTTGTACTGAGATTTTCAATTGTCAGAAATTCCTGCAATTTCAACTGCTTTGAAGACTTGTTCAAAGAGTAAAGAAGAATCACTAAAAAATCCACTTTTCAAGTACCATTTTGATGTAGAAATTTATAGTTGTAATATTCTGACCATATAATTATAGTACGAGATTTGAATGAGTAATATTTTGAAAATTTTTGAACTAGTTTTCAAGTCAAGAAAGCAATCACAAAATTATGTGGAAAATTTCTTGGACAAGTGTAAATAATTCAAGAAATTTATATGACTGGACATTCAACAGACATCATGACCATTTTCTCACTTCTTATTGTAATGATGTTCATTACGATTTTTTTTCCAGTTTTGGTTCATCATTAACATTAATCTTCTTGACTTTTAAAGTAAAAAAATATCCATTTTCCTATAATTGGAAAGAGCTTGTTTTTTCACTACAAAAGAGCACACTTATAATTTCTTTTTCTCTTTCCAATTAGGAGAGCAAGCATTTTTTTTTTGTTTCTGGATTGAGACCTCGTTATGGAATGAAAATTTTTACGTTGATGGTCAACCTACTGCAACATGCACTACTAAAAAAAAATAGAAATTAGCGACAGACAAATTTTGTAGCTAAACAAAAAATCCGTTGCTAATCCTATTTAGTAACGGATTATCAAGAATTTGTTAGCTACAAGCGATTTAGCAACGAAATTCGTAGCAAATTTCAATTTTTTATAGTGATGGTTTGGAACTTAAAATATAATCAAATTCACAGGGGCAAAGTTGACAGTTCCAATTAGCTTGAGATTGAGACGTAGTTATTATTGTTGTTGTTATTGCCATGATCGAGGCTAGAGAATTGCTGGAGTAGAGGCTTCTATGTTTGGATTATCCATTAGGTTGGATAAGTTTAGATGCAAGATTGAAATTAGCGAAAAAATAATAGAGATTAAGTAAGGATACAACAACAACATACCCAGTATCAATTAAGCAATGATATTTTTTAAATTATACCTAACATAAGAAACAACTAATAAATATTTAGTAACTAAGTTCCATGCTTAAGTGACAAGCAAAGCCTTAATCTAATCTGACAAGATTTGTGAACCCATATCATGAAGATATAATCCAAACCAATCAACTTGCAAGCTAAGTATAAACAAGTAGCCTATATTTTCAAAGGGAATGTTTAGATATTATTTCAAGGAAACTCTCATATTTCTCAAAAGGAATTTTCAGAATTTTCCATGAGGAACAAAAAGCTATTAGCACTCAATTGCATGGATACCTAATCCATTGGAAATTCTCTCCCTTTTTGGACCCAAACCTTTTTTTGTATGTCCAATGATTGGTTTTTAAGAAGGAATTATTGGTAGGGGCAGACTAGCTAGCTACAAAGGTGGTTGATGAATAAAACATTTTATATTTGTATATTCCAACACCTCCCCCCACCAAATGAACTTATTACAAAAATTCCCTTCTCTCTATCCTCAATATTGAGTACTTGAAAATTCATAAAGAACTATAGTAAATACGCTTTTAACTTCAAGCAAATTGAGTTTGGTTATATGAATTTTCATTGTCCATATCATGTCATGTGAACCCGTCTGTAAAATCAAGAATTTTCAAAGATACCGTAACTTTTTTATCATCATAAATTTATCTTGAATATAAATTTAGATGACTAACAATAATGTTATTCAATTTCACAAAGAGTAATGATCAAAATTGCACCTATTTGAAGGGAAAAAAAATAGTTCTCAGAGAACTTACATAAGGGAAGAGATCGTGAGACTTGAACGTTCGATGCTATCGTGTTCCGACATGAGCTATGCAATAATAAGATCTCTCTTGATCCTTGCCATATGTCGATCTTAGGCTGCAATCCCAAAATGCTTATGTGCCCCTTATTAATGACATATGGTAAATATTTTGAACCATTATCTAGTGTTGACACAAAATTTACCTCGAACCACTAGAAATAATATTCTCCCATAAATCAGTCTTAAATTTAATATCTATATGTTGTATATTCATTTTTTGGAATAATAGAGGCAAAAGCATTGTAGTCCATACAAGGGACCCTAATCATCAATTTATCAATAATACTAAAATGGTAAAGTCCACTCTGCTATGGACTTGTGATCAAGGGAGAGTTGATGAAACAAATTTCTAATAAGGGAAAAGAATCTTGGTGTAGCATGGTTTTAGGTGATGACAGGGTTTAGATGTTGACCTATCAACAAAAAGGATAATACCAAACAAATCCATTTCAAAGCCTTGATTAATTAATTATAGAACACAAGTTGCAGTGCCTTCTCCATTTAACAAGATTTGGTTTGATTAGCTAAAACCAAAAATTAAAATTTCCCCTCCATTCTTTGAAGATGGTTGAGGGATGTACGCATAACTTTTTGTAAGCGATGTCGTATTTAAAAAAAATAAATATAATTTAATATTATTTCCCACAGGTTGAAAACCCTGCCCCACTAGTTTAGTTGAATATTATTGCAAAGCGAGGTTCACTTCTCCTTAGCCTCAAATTTTTAACAAAAATGATCGCTCAAAGATCTTCAAAAAGTTGAACATCTGGGTCCAGATTCGAACTTACGATCTTTATAAGCTCAAATACGAGCTTGACCAACAGACCAAGAAGTACTCTCTACCAGGAAGTGGTGTCATTATTATATATTACCTCATTTTTGCAGAATATTAGTATAAATATTTAATATTTTTTCTCAAAAAAACGGTAACGGATGACACCGCTTTCACGCATGTACATCCGCCCCTGGATGTACTAACC